AGACAAAGCAGAGTCTCTTCAAGCAGATGATCGACGCCCAAAGAGGGCGCACCCCATTGGGTTCAAAGCCATACGTGAGAATATTATAGACTACGAAACATCCTGCCCTGTATGACACACAATACCTCACTGACCCCCATCTGGGTTGTCGCTTTTCTTACTGCACGTAAGCTGTATTTAAAACGAAAGTGTTTGTGAAATAAACTATTTCTTGAGCCGTTCCACTAAACTCCTCTATTGTGATATTCACTCTTGTTTTGGGCGAATAGGGTGCCGCATTTATATCGATATAAAACGTTAACGGATTAGCAGTCAAACAGTCAGTTAAAAGCAGTTAAAAAGACGTCAAGAAATGAGCTTCATAGGCTTGTAGTTGGATGGTCCTATTTTACTTGACATGCATGAAAAGCTATACGTAGGTAATGAAGTACAACGCCGCAGGTTATAATATAAAGTCATATAACGGTAGATAATAAAACGTAACGGTGATACACATGTTCTCCTGAACCCGATAGAAGCAAGTTCTTAATTTAGGCGCGTGCTGCTAATAATGTGCCCTAGAACACAGCATGCATTTATGCGCTTGCTGTTTTGTTGCTGTGCTGTTTTGTCACGAGCTCTTCTGTTGCTCTGCTATTTTGACGCTGCGCAGTTTTGTCGCGTGATGTTTGGACGTGTGCGGTTTTGTCGCTCTGTTGTTTTCACAAGGTGCTGTTTTCACGCGTGCTATTTAAACCATACTTTCTTGACGCGTGCTGTTTTGTCGTATGCTGTTTTTTTTCGCGTTCCCAGTTATTTGTACGAATTAAACTGGTAATTAAAAATGTTAATTACACTACTTATCATCACGATTAGTCACCTGCAATATGTACATTTGGCCATATAACTTACCTGCGCAGACCACATTATTGAATATTTCAAGGCGTAAATATATATATCTATATCAATATATATATATATATATATATATATATATATATATATATATATATATATATATATATATGCCGCACACAAAAAAAGATTCCGTTCGGTTTTTATAACACATATACAGCTCCAACCATACAGTTATCCCATGTAAATGTACAGACATGGGATAGCGCTATTTTTAATTTTAGAATGTCTTTACTGGACATTACAATACAGCAGTCAATGGAAAATATTCGTGCTTTAGAGTCTCAGATCGATATTATTTTAAAAACTTCCCCTGGTTTACCTTTAATAATATTAAAAGAATTGCAGCATTACATACATAAAAAGGAGCGAGAAGTAATTAATACTAAACGACGTAAGGCACTTAGAGATAATGTACTCTTGGATTTTTTCTCGCCCCTAATAGAAAAATGGAAAAACTTCTTTTCACGCCTAATTAATAGAACACAGCATACTAATCCATGTAACTCAGAACATTCTACAGATTTGGGTGGAGAAAAGTCCGAAATATTCAATTATTCTTCCTATGTAATTTCTAAACACGAAGAGATAGTTCTCAAGAAAGGATTAAAGTTTTGCCCCACTCCTCGCAACAATAGTGATGATTTGGACTTGCACAAAGGTTTAAATGAATTTGCACGGCAATTGCACTGTAAAGTTTTTTTCAAAGGAGCTCCTTATCAAGAGCCTTTATATAAACACAAATCCTATTGGATTCCGCCGTTAAATAAACAAAATGTTAATGTCATAAAATACATAGAGGCGGTCCAGAAAGATATTTTATCAGCGTATAAAAAAGACAGACCACTTAATAATAATTTAACTTATAAGGATAGGCAATGCTTAAAAAACCTGACGGATAACAGAGATATCATAATAGCCCAGGCTGACAAAGGGGGAGGTATATGCATAGTTAACACAGCCGACTATGTATCGGAAGCAATTAAACAACTGAACGACACTAAGTTCTATAAAAAACTAGATTATGATCCAACACTTAAGTTTCGAGAGACAATAAAAACACAATTAAAATACCTAGTAGATAATAAGAAAATAGAGAAAAACATTTCTACGTGTCTCATTCAGGAAAATCCGAGACCAGGACAGTTCTATATGCTAATGAAAGTACATAAGCAAAATCACCCAGGTAGACCAATTATTTCGGGAATAGGTACTAATACAGAGAATATTTCCGCCTTTATTGACGAACAAATTAAAAGTACTGCAGCCGGTGCCCCGTCCTACGTAAAAGACTCCTCTCATTTTCTCAATTTGATTAATGATATCCAAATAGATTTTAGGACTAATACTACGTTGCTTGTCACAATGGACGTAGTGTCTCTTTACACTAATATACCGCATGATGAAGGTATTCAAGCAGTTCTTAATATTGTTAATGAGAACGACCTCACTGTTAGTAAAAGCGTCTTAAATATTTTTATGCACTTAGCTTTAGAGCTTAATAACTTCACATTTATGAATGAGCATTATTTACAAATACATGGCGCAGCAATGGGATCTCGCTTCTCTCCCTCCTATGCAAATATATATATGATGTCTTTAGAGGAGCGGCTACTTAACTCCTTCCCGCATAAACCCCTTTTTTATAAACGTTTCCTAGACGACATATTTATAATTTGGAATAATGGGGAAGATAAGCTCTTTGAATTTATTAATTTTGCCAACAATTTTAATCCACATATTAAATTTACGTATAAATACTCTGATACAGAAATAGAGTTTCTAGATATTAAGGTAAGACTTACTGAAAATGGTTTGAAAACAACCTTATATCGAAAACCTACAGATAGACGTCAATTTCTACATTATAAAAGCTGTCATCCAATACAAAACAAAAAAGGTATACCATACAGTCAAATGCTACGCTTAAGACGCTTATGTTCAGAAGATAATGATTTTGATATAAAAGCTAGAGCACTAGGAGAGGATTTCATTAACCGTGGATACCCCTTACCGCTAATAAATAATTCTATATCAAAAAGTCGAACGATCTCTCGGAACGCGTGTTTAGTAGAGCGGCCGAAAAGAAATAATCATGAATTACGACTAATCTTACCTTACCAATCAAAACTTCCAAACATAAACAATATTCTTAGACGACACATGAATATTTTACACATGGACACAGCTTTAAAGGCAGTTATCCCTCGACCCCCTGGTATAGCGTTCAAGAGACCACGTAATTTATTAGATTTATTTAAACAGTCCCGAAACTCCATCGGACGTAGCCTGGTCCCGATTGGTTGCACCAAGTGCAATCATAACCAATGCAGTTTATGTGGGGACATAATTATAGCTAACTCTATTCGTAGCACAGCGAATAACTTTAATTGGAAAATAAATGGTACCTTTGACTGTAATTCGGAAAATGTTATTTATTTAATTCAATGTAGAAAATGCCAAATTCAATACATAGGAGAAACTAAAACAAGCATAAGAAAACGCATGAATCTACATAAAAGTCATATACGTAAACACGTTGCCGGACCGGTTTCCCGTCACTTAAACTCCGCAGGACATAACGGACTTTCTGATTTTAATTTTATTATACTCCAGGGGGGCTTTCGAACCACCAGAGATCGAAAAAATAAAGAATCTGAATTTATCTATAGATTTAATACTCTAGAACCGAAGGGCCTTAACAGTTCGAAAGGATCACTGCCGTCTTTTTTTATGGACATTTAATTGAGATCTTCTAATCGGTACCGCACTGTTGCTTTTTTTTTTTTTTTTTTTTTTTCTCGCTTCATCGTTTAATGCGACACGAGCTAACGCGTAACATTGGGCCTCTCATTGGCTTCACATGACACCAGGTATAGTTGGGTTATACCCAACCACATGTCCCAAAAACTGGTTTTATGATAAGAATGGCAGTAATAATATTATATTTAATTATTTCAATAGTATTTATTGCATCGGTATCGAGATATATTAAACTTTTAAGCGAGAATTTAGTTGAGTAGGCACCCGCTAAACGGTAAGCATTTTTCCAATTAACTTCTTCTTTTTTCCGGCCGTTTTTTCTTTGATTGAAAGAAAAGGAGAACGAAGTCTCCTTTTCTTTCTGACTGACGAAGAGCCTACCAGGCCCGAAACGTTTCACTGATCTCTTTTTTGGCAACCTCCTCGGCTAACTCCTTTAAGGGCTAATATTGTGTTCAGTATATATATATATATATATATATACCCACGCCTTCGGCCTCCCGCCACCATGCCCGTTGAATATATATATATATATAGATACATGACTGCTTAAATTGAAATCAAACACCTTGTATAGGTTTTTCAGTTTGGGTATCTTCTGGAGGATGGAAGATTTTACTAGCTGCTGTGGTCGCTCTTTGCGTTTCATGAAGGATCCCATTGGAAGTTTGATTCTTTTCGCAGTTGATGTAACGAATATTTACTTAATTTACTTCATTTTAATTTACTTAATTTATAAAACAATATCAAGATGGCCAACGTTTTTTAGCATATGTTAATATTAGGTTTTATGTCTCTCTATTGAGTAATGAAATTTCGTCTAACACCAAGTACGGCAGGCTTGTGTTATTTTTCTAAATTTACAACAAAAAAGTATAAAGGATTACCACCGTAAATTACGTGTTAGTTTGGTAGATTGTTTCACAACAGCTCAATGCTTTTTTGCTACCCCATTAGTTTTATTCATTAACTTAAGGAGGACAAAAAATTAAAAAAAACAGTAAATAAATTACACGATTTTTCGTTGATGACCTTCTGTCGAAGTGTTATTACTAAATCCCAGCAGGGAACCACGGTACACTTTCCCTTGACGCGAAACCATGACGCTCCAAGCAATATAAAACTAAAGCGGTCAGCCTTTTGTTCTACTCGTTTGTCCCGACTCATTCATTTGCCGGAATATTTTTTTTTCGATAAAAAGAAAAGAAAGCGATAGAGAGGGAAAAAAAAAGATGACGACACAGACAAAGGCAGTTGGACCTCATCCATTTCACGGCCCCTTCCTCCCTTCCCGGGTCCCGCGTAGCAAAGTACTCTAAAAGACAAAGGGCGGGGGCTCCCACAGGGACTTTATCTAGGCAAGCGCGACGATGCGGAACTGACGGCCACGCGCACACGAACGGCGACGCAAAAGCATCAAGAAAAATGGCCTGTGCCCACTCTTTCCCCGTTCCCCCCCTCCCCAAACCAAGGGTGCTCTGCTACAGAAACCGCCCACGAGGTCCGGAGCCGCACCACTCTTCAACCGGACCACAAAAGTGAGCGCGTGTTGCCGAGAGCCGAGCGCAGATCATAGCGAGACCAGAGTCTGAAGAACGTGTCCCGACCTGGTGGTCTCAAGGGTCGTGATGCTTGATTGGGTGGGATCCGTTTCGCTGCGGCACGGTTGGTTAGATGACGCGGCAGTTCTTTATGTTGATCTCGTCAACGAGGTGAATTAAGAATCAGTTCCTTCCTTAAGGATCAGTTTCAGATAGGGCCCCAGGAAGTTTCGCGGAAGATGGCATATATTCAGCCTTGCGCAGTTTGGTCCATGGGGATCGGCGTGGCCATCACGTTACTGGTCGGTGAGTCGTTTTATCGTTTTATTTCTGAATTTTACTTCAGTTCGAATGACGTGAACAGTATTAGAGAAGCGGAGGAGCGACTTTTGTGGGAACACTGTCATCCAACGACACGTGTCTGAGGCCTTTAAGTTCGGGTTACATAAAAATATATGAAAAAAAATATATATATAAAAAAATATACTGTCGGTGCGGGCATTATGCGTTCGTGATGATTTCACAGGCTTATTGGTAACATAATGCCTTGGGGATTTCAGATGCGTTGCACACATGACACGCTCATGTGCTCCTCTGGTTTATCAGGATGATCGAGACAAGTTTAAATTTATTCAGAACCTGTGACATCGGAAGATCACGTGGGGAGGCTACGCTTTGTCATTCAGAAGCCAACAGCGCGTGCCTACAGTCGCCTACTACCACAGACTCGCTTGAACCATACTTAGGCTGCATTCACACTTGGGCTCGAATCGCAACCGCGAAGCGGATCCTCTCGTTTTTATCATCAACTGTGCATGAATTTCTATTGCGTCTTTAAGCAACCGCGTTCGCAAGCACTCTGCGGACGCGGTTGAGCAGCCGGTGTGAATGCGGCGGTAGTCTAGGTGTTTGAGCTCCAGTTGGTCTCCTCCTTGTGGCACTGAGTGACTTTGCAAAACTTGCTAAATGTGACTAAATATGATTATTTATGACTCAGTATGCTTCTACGTTATGTGCACGCTTATGCATCATGGCTGCTCTGGTCTATGTTTGCTTTATGTTACCCTTTCCTGCGTATAACGGCCTTTCGTTATGGTCGAGTGTAACACGTTTAGAAAAAAATGCAGCCGATAAGGACATTCTCTGAAGATGTACTGCTTTTCGTCGGGAGTGAACTGAATTTCAGCGTTTTATTTCGGTGCGTACTTTTGACCAAAGAAATTATTGCCCTGTTTCCACGAGAGCTACTCGCAATCATTTGAGAACTTTTGACCTAACGCGGTGCATTAATTACATTATTTTAAGTTGTGTTTCTCTCTTCGTTGATTTAGATATTGAGGTTATGTCGTTTCATATAAAACTGCAAAAAAAAGAAAAGAAAAAAAGAAGGAACTGAGTATCCTACTGTGTGCTATTGTCAGGCGGTTGTTTTACATTGTTTCTGTGTTTCTCTTGGGTGGTAGGGTTTTCTTTAATCGATCTAGGAGTGGCGCAAAGCTCTAAAGGAGTGACTATCCTGGATTGCATCAGACAGGAGATTCCGGCCACGGTAGGCGTTTTGTTTTCTCTAAAATAGAAGAGTTTATGCATGTGTAGCTCTGTGCAATTATGTACATTTTTAAACACAATGAATGAAATTGAGGGTGATTTTAAATTCCGAACGCACCATTTACGCGGACTCCAAGAACACTTGGCACATTCTGTAAGACACGTTCCACAAGAAGACAGAGGAACTATGGTCCGTTTCACATTAGACAGTGTTAGGGAACCGTTTTTGCGCGTCTGATAAGGTACGACTGGCCCTCCGGTACGAACTGCGCATGTGCGAGTGTTATGCGGTAGCACATTCGCAGTTCCTTTGGGAGAGCCCATCGTATTGTATTCAATGTTCAGTAGCGGTTCCCTGAATCTCTCCATTAAGGGCGACCGCAGCCAACGATACGATCCGATCAAGCCAGCCTAGCAGCGAAAACAGTACAGCGTCATGGTGATCGTTGTCTGCGGGCGATTACCAGCACCGGCTAAACCAACCACGCGCAGTAAATGGGCTGTGATCCTGCGTTTTTTTTTTTGATACGTGATTTATTTAGCCGTTGATGGTAAGCAATATTTGGCACAAATCCTCGGCCAGACAGATGCCATAAGATGGAGACGTTTGTCATAACTTGGCAGCCTGCATGCAGGGGTCAAGCAATTGTGGTTGAAGATATTTTGAAATTTTCACAGGAGTGGGCAACGCCCCGTCTCGGTGCAATACAGACACACTTTTGGTTGGTTGAAGATGGCTATTCTGTTTGTTCTTCTTTTCACACAGAGGTCCTAAGCTAGCTCGTAATGAAGAAACGGCTAAGGCACATACATGTCTCTTTTGCCGACATCGCAGTTGAGGACGAAATGAAGGACGAGGGTGTTCTTCCCTACACTGCACTCTTAAATTATACGACCGAGGCAGATGCCATCTGCCTCGGTTTAAGAAATTTGAAAAGAAAACTAATGTCGTTCCCATCACGAAAGAAAACGGTTCATTGACTTACAAGAAAAGATTCATTAACTTCCAAACCCGTGAAAGGCTCTGGGGGTAACGCTCCTGTTTATAGCCATCGATTGGCCAGTCAGTGCCTATTAAACGATAAGGTTCTGAGGTAAAAATATTATTTTATTCAAATAACACTAATTACAATGTTAAGCTTAACGAACAGCATGGTGACAAAGTAGTCAATACCTTCGTACGGCGTGTGTGCCTTCCCTTTACGCGGGCATAATATTTGCGAACGCGAATAAATATATTATGTACTGTTTTACTATCCGGCCCTTTATTCTAAAGACCAGTGCTAAAATGGTTAGTTAGTCTTACTCTACGGAAGAAGAGATAAAAAATAGTTCACGGGTGTGTAGTTGCTTTCAGTTATCTATAGCGCCTTACCGAAAATGACAATACCGGCAAGGCATTATTTACTTCCGTTTGCAGTGTAAGCTTTAATACCCATTTTAAACAACTTGAGATGCCTCTGACGAGAAAAAAAAAAACAGAAGAAATCAGAAGGACACTGTGTCGAATTCCATACTACTTTAGAGGGACAAAATAATTTTCAGGACGTAGATAGGGAATCCTAGTGTAAAGCCCGACTTGGTGCCTTAGAATCGCGTATTGTAGAATTTTGGAAAATCAGGGACGCTGAAAGACTGGGAACCATGATACGACGTATTCAGGTAGCACGTCAGAGGAACACCTTTCTCGGCACAACGTTGACAATCCTAGGTGCCCAACTTGGGCCTAATGGGGTTTTGCTCCGAGATGCTGCTTAGTATCAGTCTTTTTCTTTGGCGTCAAGGCGCCACACTTGAGCCAATGGTGCCACGTATGAACGAAAGAACTAGCAATGAAGCCTTAATTTCGCACTTTTTGCTGGCCAATTTAGGCTCAAAGTTACCAGATAAAAACCAAACAACCACAAGTGAGGCGTAGCCCTTTCGCTCGTTTGGCAATTTAGGCACAAATATGCTAACTACCGGCATTGAAGCCTGACTTTGGCACTTTTTCTTTCGTGAATTAGAACCAAGAATTAGAACGAATTAGAACCCGACTCGGGCCAAAGAAGATGAAGTTTGGTTGTACCTTGGCTCTTTCAGGCTTTCTAAGGCCCTGTATCCCCAAACAAAGACCAAATAATGGCTAAAAAAACTGAGCTATCATTGTATACGGTTCTCCGAGAATAAATGGACATGTTTAGTTTCTATTATGAACATAACACTCGCCGTTAGTATGGCATCAGATCAAGTGTTATGATAGAATCACGCGACGGACTGTGTTAAACGAGGAAAAAACAGCAACACAGAATGGCAGAATAGCCTTGCAGCACACACAGCGATTATAAAAAAAATCATATACTTAGGAACGTGGATGATTGGATATACATATAGCTTTTTATTTTCGCAATAAAGCTTCTTCGACAAAAACAGCTGCGGTGTAGCACGATATCCTGGCTATTGTGCCAAGAAAGAGAAAATTTTTGTGATGCCAGTTTCGAATTAAACAAAAAAAGAGTCATCCAATTTATCGAAACCATTATTCCTAAATGTTGTAAGGTTAAATATCTCTCTAAAACATAAAAGCGGGATAATATGGCCAAAAATAATCCGTCCTAAGAAACACACACGCACACACACGTAAGGGTGACTGATTTTGCTTGCTAATTTCGCTGAAATCCTAAACCACCTAAGCCGGGATACTCTCTATACATTGAAGATACGCCTAAAAAAGAAAATACGTTAAAGTTAGGCGAATGGTGCTTGTTAAATTCCCGCTGTCAATATCTCTAGGTTTCTCCGAAGTTCCAAGAGTGCGTTGACAACGTAACCGTTGGGAGCTTCTACAAATTCATGACCGTGAGTGGAAGCTCTTGAATACATTTTCATTGTTTTTTTTTTTAAATTGAATTCCTGCCAAATGTCGGAGCATTCTCTCACCATGCATATTTTTTTTTTTCTCCGAAGGGTTTGCAATGCATACTGAGGCTGGCGAATGCAGTGAGTATAACATCTACAATGTTTTCATTTTTCGTATGCCTCACGTTCCCATAAACTTTCAGTTGTTTAAGTTATTTTTATTTGCATTCCAGACAAATATTTCTTGTGTTAACAAAAAGGTTTTGCATAAATGAAAAAGATTTACCAATTAAATGAAGGAAAAGGAAGTGGAAGGCAGTATTATCGTTTGAAATGTCGTGCGGTGTTGAAAGAGGACGCTTAATGTTTTTGCACACCTTAGAAAATTAGCGCTAAAATATCTATCGAGTGCTACTGACTCACTTGTCCATCATGCGATATTTTTTTCGGGGTTGATATAAAATTAGTGTAGATTACTCATTTAAAGAGCAGCGCTTAATGAATAATTTTTCGCGCTTTATTCGAATCCGCGACTCTTTCAAATATTGTTTGGTGTTGCACAAACTCCGGGCAAAACTTCCCACATTTTTCGTTGCATTCGAATGAGGGTTGTATGGAAACGTGTGCGCCTATTACTACGAACACTTGCTTTTAAGTCGGTTCTGTTGCAAGTAATAAGAGAAATGGAACAATACCTGAAAGCACTTTAAAACAGTGTAGTCCAAACCGGCGCAGTTGTATCGAGAAGGATATGGCGCCAGACATTAGGTAATATCAGAAATAATGAAATGCGGCGGGGTTCTAGACCACAGTTAAGAAGCAAGCAAGGATGTATCTAAATCACTGTTATAATTGTTCTCTCGAAGTTTGAAAACATAAGAACGTTCAATAGTTCTTGCGAACTTTAGGGTTTGGTGTTTTATAAATAATCTTCCTGGAGCAATGTAAGATATGAAATAAGCTTATTTGACTTTTTTATTGCTTTCAAACATGATTTCTATTTACACACTGTTTTCCTAGTACTATATAAGTTTAGCATAATAAAGGTAAAAAGAATATATTTAAAAACATCTCTCAAGACCCAAGGAGTTCGCCCTGAAACAATGCAGAATATTTCGTGCTTTTAGTTGCGTGTCATCATTATCAGGATATTTTCAAATTGCCCGAAGAGGTTTGACTGTTTTTCGTGGCCACGTCCAAATAAAAACTTTCGACTGATAATACAAACATAATTAAGTATTCAGGGCCTGTTCATAACCAATGCCTATGACATTTATTTATTTGTTGGGATTTCAGTTTTCTCACCTCTCAACGTACTTTATGCCAATTTGGAATCCAATCAATGATTAAGAGCGGGTAGCACTAATGATATCCATTAAGCATTTTTTTGTTCAAATTCACGTCATGTACGACGAATAGTGAATCAGGAAAAAAAGAGGCTTAATCATAATAAACCACGATTTAGTAAGCTGTCAGTGGCAATTTTTTGAGGAAAATAAAGATTTGATTTGATTTAAATCAATAACGTTCGCTATCCAGCAATAGATATAAAAATACAGTTTAGTTTTGTTTCATTTTGGCGTAGCCTCTAAGCGTTTGCTCAGTCACGTCGTGGAACCGTTGAGTGGGCTCATTAGTTCTTCTGTTTCTGACCATTCAATCTTGCCGACTGATCAATGTGAGTCACGAAGGGTTAATTTTGGTCTCTCCCCGTACCCCGCATGCGTGACGTGATCGATCGTAAGCAGAGTTTAGGTTTTATTAAAATGTTAGTTAAACGAGTTTTTTTTTTTTTTTTGTTTTGTTTCACCCTTGAAGCTTCGGTTCAGTGAAGTACCAGGAAAAATACACGATAACATCGTGGTGGTACCAACTTTGAGTGCGTAGAACGATAAGCGTGTTTAACGTTTTCTTTTTGTTTTTTCTGAATCCCGAAAGCATGCGTGACCCAATACATTATGAAAAGTGCAGATGCGACTGTACTTAGAAGCAGAACGAGCGTTTTGCTTGTTGTTTATGTATTAGAAAGCATTCTCGCTCAAATAAGGTCTGCACCCGCTGTACTCCAAATAGACGCGACGTTTTTCAACCACAATATTTTTCTGCTAGACATTTGTTTAAAATAATCTAATTGTGCGATCTTGACCTAATGCACTTTAATACATACGGCGTCACATGTATGCCAGGTTGTTATTTTATATCTCATGCGTTGTATCTGGAAAGCGATCAGGACGTGCGTGCAGATCTGGCCCGCAGGTTGCGGCCAAAATGTCTGTCTGTGAACACTTCCGAAAAGGCTCACAAATGCAGCATCCTGGAGCCCTCGAACGAATCGGGATCTTACTGAAAATTAAGATTATCGTACTGACTGATCAAGACCAACACTAGTTAGTAAGAGTTACGAGCGTGCTAGCGCCCTGCAATCGTAGGCAGCCTGACTGGCAAAAAGGCGTTCCCCCCTTTCAAGTATACCGCCTGATTACTCTTGGAGTGTGATATCACCTAAGGTTATTAGCAGCTTAAGAAATGAAGGGCGTGCTAGTTCCGAGAAACTTATTATCTCTTGGCAGCCTAATGAGATCTCGGTATTTGGCGATGATGAAAACGCCGAAAAACGCATCCGATGCAATATGCTAATGGTAATATAATATGTCATACGCCCCGCGCTTCTTAACCTGTCGGTGAACATATCCCCGGATAAGTCTAGACTACTCTATGCACCAACTTAACTTCCTGACGTCGCGCCGCTGTGGTGGCGCTGCTGTCGGTACTGCGCATGCGCAGACGCTTCCTCTCTCGCGAATGTGATTTCTACCCACTAGCGCTGCTAACACCTGGTGCGGGAAAACGCGGGCTCGCTTGTAAACGGCGCTTGGTCTATTTACACTGATTGCTTGAGAAGCGCAGAGAAGTGTGGCCTTGACTCGTGAATCGCTTATCGGCTAATCCCACGACACGGTTAGCCTCAGAGCGAGAATGAGATACACGGGACCTCGTCAAGCCCGGCGTTTCTGAAGCTTTCGGTGACTCTATACAGATCCCCACTTTTTTATGATATGTGGGTGTACGTAACGCTATTTGTGAGAGGATTATTTTTTTTTTCTTTTTTGGGGACGTGTAACCAAGACTACATTTTTCTATTTCCAGATCCGATCGGATCGCTTTGTTGACACCGCCTTGCTGTTCTCGGCGGTGGGTGACTTCAAGGGTACCCGATTCGAACTTGCAGTCGACAAGTGCGCTCAACCGCCTATGCTGGTAAGAAACACAGGAAGAAAAAAACAACAACGACAAAAACACCGTAATCGAGTTTCTTGAATTTTCGATTAAGTTAGATTTGTTTTAACGTTTTCTCAGGTAAACAAATTTGAAATAGAGTGAGTCTTGGCTGAGTTTATTTAAGTGCGAATAAAACGGCTCTAAGTAAAAATAAAGTGTTTAGCATTGCGTGTAAGAGCAAACGCAACACTGTGCGTTTGCGTTAGCGTTGCGTGCTCCACGCCTCGCATGCGCGTCGTCGCTACGTGCCAATCCAAGACCGAACTTTGGGCTTCGCGCACGCGCAGTGTAGAACACGCAATGCTAACGCACAGGCACAGTGCTTGCGTTCTCCTGTGTACGCAATACTAAAACTCACTATTGAGACTTGACAGATGTGTTCTGGCCACACCAACTGTGGGCTCAGGATAAAATATTTTATCTCTTGCTTATGCTGACGACAGCTGGCAAATATTTCTCTTTGTTTTTTGCGCACTTTGGGTAAATCAAGTGCGAAAGGGATAGGCTTATCACCGTGGGATTGTTCAGGCGTTACCTTGCAAGGTTCCAACAGTGGGAAATAGACAACTTATTCGAGAAAGGTACAAAAGGCCTTTACATTTATGTCTGTGGTATTCGCTTAAATTAAAAAAACAAACAAACACATTGAACTAAGTTTTTGAACGTAGATCAACGTTGTCTTGATTTTGTAAACGACTTCGTGACATCTTATATGGTAAGTTAATATATCACGGGCCCTTTCTTCATCGTACATGGTCTTCAAAAAAGAAATAATAGAAAATAGGCAGATGAATGAACCGTACCTGATCCTTCGCTCCGCCAAATAATTCGTCTTTCCGCAAATTCGTGGACTTTGTTTTATTCGATCAGGGACGGTTCATTCATCGGCATATTTTTGATTGCATCGTAATTTAGTAAGTATATAATGATGCGGCATTTAATTTATTTTATAATAGAGAAATACTGAATTGGCCATAGAGTATTGAAATAAGTATCTTTTTAATAGTGAAAATGCTAATTCGGCAGACTTAATTTCGTCATTTGTTTTGTGTTTTTTATTTTGTACGTTTGTTACGTGCGCTATTTAACGCAGCTATTTGGCTGGAAAGTAGATTCAAATTAAAGTGTAACATTACGTGGGGCATCACGCATAGACCATAAGACATTTGACCTTTCCCATGTAAATACTTTTTATTATAACCAGCTTTAGAATGTGGGAGGAATTCTTCCTGACATAAATACATGTCCCGTCATAGCAGCCCGCTATTGATGTCGGTTTCACTGTTCAGAACGTAAAACTTTCACGTACCTCGATTATCTCTACGGAGAGGGGCAGCTGGTATTGAAACTCGCATTTTATTTGGGACAAGGCTAGTGGAAGCGGATGAGTTTAGTGTGGGACCAGTAAAATGCTCCTGCGCGTCGGATGTGGTTCATGGCCCACCGTTTGTACTCGGCTGACCCCCAAATTCGCAAAAAAGGATGTACGTTTCTTTGAGAAAAGGAACTGGACTCTTGTTTGGTAGAAATCCTCTCTGAACCTAAGAAAATAACAAACATGGCAAGAGTTTGCTGTTCGAAGCTATGAATGGTTTAAGTTTTTTTTTAACATTTTGAGTGTGGTTATCATTAATTGATTATTAATATTATAACCAGAAATGACAAGTCACTTCACAGGAAAACAATTTTTGTTGCGTGTTTCACGTTGTCATTGGAGATGGTTTCCTGCACTGAAAATATGATTTCCGCACAGTTAGATAAGAAAAATTGTAAATGGTGTCATAGATATCAACACTAGCTTCTACCAACAAATTACCAGCAACCTCGTGGCTTTGTGTCTGACAATCTGGTGATATTGTACTCACTTCATGTCTTTGCTTGGCCAGCATTCCAATTTCTCTCAGCATCGCAACATTTACAGTACCGGTTTCAGAGCTCACCATAACTTTAGCCTAGTACGCGATTAAAGCTGCGTATTAAAGTTGTATAGTGCAGTTAACCAGTGCAACGCGGGAGCGGCGGCCGAAACAATGGTTGGAACTGTGTTACGGATAAACTGGGAGTGACGCTGTCTGGTCGCGTCAGAATCTGACGAAAGAGGTTTTTTCGACCACAGCTCGGTCGTTATATTTAACAGCGGCTCGCTCTATAGCTTGAGTGAAAATGTTACCACTTTAACACATCAAACAACCAATCTTGTTTCAGGCGATAAAGTTCACCACTTGTCTTTTCAGCAGATTTCAGGAGGTAAGTTGAACGTGAAAGCTTTCCGTTTTACAGCTTGTTGGGCTCACTAAAATTAAACAAAGAAACACAATACGCCCCTAATACAGTTTTATTTCTCAGTTCTTTTTTTCGTAATTCACTTGGCTCTATGCCGACATTTGTGAACATTATGTTTCCTTACATATCCTTAGCATGCACGAGGGAGCGGAAATAGTTGGAATATTTAAATAACAAACATGTATTATTTTACATACAGTTTTAACTCTTTAACTACACGGAACGCATTAAAGTTTTGTACAATTAACTATTTGCTTTTGTTGGATCGCATGGCTTTTTGATTCCACCTGGCTATGAACATAGCTCAAACAGCTCTTGCTTCTCTTTGCAGATATGCAAAAACCGGGTCAAGAAACCAGGATAGTCGTTCCTGCAACTACCAGCAAGTGGTTGACACGAACGGTTTCTACGTGTGCTTATCTCCCAATGTTGTTCAATGTTTGAGAGAACACACAGGCTGCTACATTCCCCGCCGCACAGCGTGGCATCACACCGGCCATCAGGAAGAACATGCTGACTGCAGATAGATGCACGTTGCGCGAACTTCTTCTGAGAATGCAATGCATTTCCCTCAGCCATATGCATTAACTGACTTGGAACCGAAACGTGCTTCAACCATCTACTCGGAATCCGTCTGTTTACAGAAAGGTGACTAGTCCTGATAGGTCTCCATCGTGTAATGCAAGACCCCGAACTAAACGGAGACGCAAAGAATGTCATTGTATACTTCCGACCACTTTCGGGTACTAGCCTCCTGAAGATATTTCGTATTGATTAGTTTTAAGCTTCAGACTCCTAGAACAGAGACGAAAGATTTGGAGAAGCAAACAAACAACTTAGATTAGGAAATTGGATGGTTTTAAAGTCCTAACGTAGCCGCCAAGTTTATCATGAACACGTTACGGGTTCTAAGTTTTATGTGATAAATGGCAGCTTTACGTAGAATTGCAGCTTGTACGTGCACAACGCAAAGTTTAGGTCTTGAAATTGTACGCGTGGCTGCTACCTGATCTAAGGCGTGATGTATGCTAGTCAAATGAACTAAACTCGAGGTCATTAACGAGATTTTTGTAGCGAAGATATAAACAACTGTCTGCAGCGATTAAATAATCTAGAATAGGGTATTCGTTGAGAGAAACACGGTGGACATCGAAGAAAAGTCAGTCTTTTAGTCGAAATTGACCGATTGTCATGATTGTGCCTCGAAGCCTAAAATAGAATAAAAATGAAAGCTTGATAATGTTGGTAAAGCAGTTCTCCACGTCCTTACTCAACATAAATTTTAGTTCGTATCTGTAATGACTGACTTTTCGAGCTGCGATGAAATAGGAGCACACCCTGCTGACCGCCGATGTTACGAAGTACTAGTTCATTCCTGCTCAGAGCAAAAAGGAAAGCAGATTTCAAGTAGAGCGTTTGACATGTTATTACAGCTGATACTGGTTTACTGAAATTGATGTTATAGATTGTGTGAAACATAGATATGTGCTGCAAAAATATCCGAGTGCGATAGCGTCAGCTTCAAAGTGCGCGAGCAAAATTCTACACTAGCGCATGGCTTTTTTTGGCAGTTGTGAAATAAATCCGCACGGACACCAGAACAACGTAGTTTTTATTATTTTCAGCAAAATTATGTGGTTCAGTCACACACGAAGTGCATGAGCTGCCGCATAGTGTGTGCCGTTGGAAGAATAATGGTGCTTTTGGAGCTCGACTTCTGAAAAAAAAAAAAAACAATACACACACACCCAAGAAAGGTAAGAAAATTGGAACAGCGCAAAATCGTCGCAGGACCGAGGGCTGCTTGATGTAAAGTTTATAACAAAACAATATTTCTCTTCCGCTACTTGCGTAGATTTCTAGAGTGGGGCGGTAAAAGTGATCAGACTTGCAAACGTAAACAAAAACCTGGTTAGTTTGGATATTTAAAGCTATGCAGGGTGTTGCACGAAACGCGTGCCAAATCGCTCCTGCGAAAAGTACGCATCGAATAGAAAGGGAACAAGAGGATGTCATATTGGTTTTCTGCTAAAGGGCCTATTAAGGAGAATTAATAGCAGTCGCTATAAGGCTCTCGATTACGTTTGAGTAATGAACTTGTTGTTAAGCAGTTAAAGGCCGACGACCAGACTCGAGATTCTGCAAGGCAGAAGACCCTCCTCTCCACGCCTTCGGGCGAGGGAAGCGAAGGATGGAAAGAAGGGACCAAGAGGGCCGGGCGTGGGTGGAAAGGGTAGGAGGGAGAGGAGGAAGCGGGCGAAAAGTGGAAAGCGCGAACTGGTCGTCGGTCTTTAAGAGGTAGGGTTTCCACTCAAAACTTGCTGGGCATCATCGTAAACCAGGAAATACGCTCATTTTACGAAGATATAAGCCACGCGCAGCATATCACGGTGTTCTAAAAAAAAAAAAGAAACACTCAGTATTGATGCGTTTTTACGTTTTTCTTTACTATCAGAACTCATCTCCGCGCCAGCGGTCCTGCTCCCAGTGGCCAATATGCGTAACCTCCCCGTCGCCTTCCGTAGGAGAGAAGGTTAATAGGCTGAAGCCGACAAGAAGAAACGCTTTGCTGTTTCAATGGGATTGCGAGAATAAGCTTTGGTCCTTGAATTAACCAATGTCATGCGTAGAATGCAGCGGTGTACATTCGTTGCACACTCAGCCCACTGGGGAGCGGGACCGCAGGCGCGGAGATACGTTTTGATAGGAAACCGAAACTTCAATATTGTGTTCCTATTTGGCATTTTTGTGAAGGCCGTAAAATGCCGCGCTTACTTTACATGTTTACAGGGTGCGCTGATTTAGTGATGCTTAATGAAGGCATTAAAGTTTCTTACTGAAACCATGCTTTTAAATTTGCATATTAAAAAGTTAATTATTCAAAACTAATCAAGCGAATTAAGTACGAGCACACAAGACCTTCATCTGGGGAATGCAAGATAAGAAAATAGAGAAAATCATGATCCTTAAAATATCAAATAACATTTTCAGTAAAATCAGACGCAATCAATATTTTTAACGTGCATCCAAAATTTATATATAAACATTTCGTGATATAAAAGTACCTTTTCAAGATATTCTTGGAATAATAATTCTTTTTAATGACTCCTCAAATTTTGAGGAAAAGAACCGATTACAGTAGGGCGCTTAAGCTTCGCCTTTAAGAGTAGAGCCGATAGCTAAGATATACACCCATATTCACCAGGCGCGACTAACTAGCGTCGTTTTAAGGTTAGTAGGACAACTAAGTAGTCGCGAGCTAAACGAGAAGTCCGCGACTAACGAGCGATTATCTCTGCGGTATTCACGAGCGCCAAGCGAGCGGGTGATCATCTAGCCAGAACTAACAAGCGGAAGTGACGTGAAAAGATATGTCACACCTATGCATACTTAAACGCCACTGCGTAAATGGGTATTTTTTCGTATAAAAACTAAACTTTAAATGTTTATCAGGAAAACAAAGTTACAAAGAGAGACATATTGTCCGAGACAGAGTTTTACAAAGAAAAATTTAAAAACAACGCCAGGGAGAAACACGGAAGCCGCATTGCCAGCGACATAAACAAATATGGAAGCGCCCGTAAATGCGTTTTTTTCGCGCCGTCCGTTTTGAGATCGCTTTAGCAATATCTCTGGCCGTTGAACATGGCTATTTACACAATATTTGCTCCTCCGATTCTTTCTAGATATGTCCCCCAGCCTTCCGAGGCGGTAAGTGCTTTGTTATAGCGCTGGTGGTCAGCGGTGATACGTGTCGCTCATGGCGCTGAGCCTGTAGTCACCCGCTAATCACCGACTATACCAGCCCTACCCCGTGACTAAGATTTGTTAGTCGAGTTCTTAGTCGCACGGGGTGACTAGGCCCTAAACACGGCCGGTGAATACCAAGAGCTCACTTAGCGGCGACTATCGCTTGCCACGTGATCATTTTAGTCGATGACGTCGCTAGTCAGTGGTTAAACAGGCGCTACTCGCGCCTGGTGAATACGAGTGATAAACCTCCCAGCGTTCCCAAGCCGTGCAAGCGTGTCCGCGTGGCCTAGTCAGTAGCCTGTCTGGCTGGCAACCGAAGGGCCGCGGGTTCGAGTTCTTCAAATTATCTCTTGAAGGCAAATAAATTACTTAAAAAAATATTATTTGAGACACGCGGCGAGCTTTAATTCGCATTACATGTCCTGGTTTAATCCCTTTCATTCCACGCGTTATACGTACTTTCAAGTGAGCGCTGTCGTGTTTGAAACTGCCGCGCGAGGTCATGTGACTGTGACGTTAGGATCCCATCGATGAGTCAGGATTTTCCACGCTCACCAAGGTGGGCGCCGGCTTTTCTCGACGCGAGCTCCGTTGAAACACAATTTTAATCAATATATTAGATGCGGAGCATCTCTTGCTCGGGTCTATGTCCCGCGGCGTCGTAGTCCGCACTCACATTACGCATGCGCAACTCTCCTCCTTCCCTCTCTCCAGCAGCTGCGCGTTACTCTCTCCGCTCTCTCTCTCTACCAGCTGCGTGCACTCCGCGTGCGTTCGCTTCTACTCACACCGCGCGCGCATGCGCAACTCTCCTCCTCTAGTCTCCTCTCCTTCAAGTGTGAAGATAAGCAGCGGTAGCGTGCTGCGCGCGTTTAGTTCACCCGCTGTTGACTCCACTTCACTCTGTTCTTCCGATGAAGTGTGATGGAAGCAACAGTCCCGTCAGTTAGTGGGTTGGCGTAAGCAGGCGTCAGCAACACCCAAAAAACTAACAGCAACGCTACGTCCACTGAAGACAAAGCTGCGCAGCGAAGGGCACGCGACGCTGAGCGCAAACGCTTCAAGCGAGCGGCAGACCCTGGACTACGGCAACGAGAAGCGGCGTCCATTCGTCAGCGTCGAGCGGCGGATGCTGAACTAGGACAACGTGAAGCAGCGGCGGTTCGAGAACGTCGAGCAGCAGAACCTGAGGTTCGGGACCGTGAAGTTCAACGTAAACGTACGAAGCGAGCGGCGGAACCCGACCTTCAAGAACGGGAAGCCGCGTTGGTTCGTGAACGTCGAGCAGCAGAACCTGACGTTCGGGACCGTGAAGTTCCACGTAAACGTACGAAGCGAGCGGCGGGACCCCCGCCTTCGAGAACGGGAAGCCGCGTTGGTTCGAGAACGTCGAGCAGCAGAACCTGAGGTTCGGGACCGTGAAGTTCAACGTAAACGTACGAAGCGAGCAGCGAAACGAGAGGCTGCTCCCGATGCTGCACGCGACCGCGAGCGCGCAGCGAAAGCGGCGGCGCGAGCCAAGCAGCACGCGCAGCCCGACACTCGCTCCGCATCACCCTATGGTTCCCCTCGGGAAGATGGTGTAATTTTTATCATAATTCATCAGCGGGTGAGTAGGCATACCATTTTTCTTCTAAACGATGCAATATGTGCATTACTGAGTGTTCTTAAGGGCGCATAGGCCGGATTCTCAAAGCGAACTTACGACGAAAAAAATGCGTACGACAAATTTGAGAGAACATCCGTATTCTCGAAACGAAATTGTCGTAACTTTTGCGCAGGTTACGACAAAATCCTACGACAGCTCCGAAGCTGTCTTACGCACTTTCTACGATCAAATTAACATGGTCGACAACGTCGCTCAGTTGCTCGGTCGCGACGACCCAACGGACATTTATTTTTCTACCTGCTCTTCTTGCGCGTCCTGACTTCAAGCAGCAAGAAAAAAATGAAGAAGTACTTGAAACCGACCACGACGAACATGAACGCTGGATCCACAGACACCCGGAAAAGGCAACAAAGGCAACGATCCCACCGACCAAGCGAGCTCGGCAGAATATATAGGCCTAGCAGGCACACCGACCCGTTCCGGCGCAACATTGCTCAGACGGTCCTTGGCCAAGACCGTCTGCCCACGACCGGCTGGCTTGCTGAATGGAATATGCCCGCGCGACCCTTGTGGGCCCTCCCCGTGTGAATAGTTTGATAGCTGAACTAAATTGCAGAGGTCAACTGATTTCCCTTATCATCTCGATCACCTTGTTTTCCGAGGCAGCGGTGACGAACGCTGTCGTCGAAAAGGGACTCCTCGATTCTATCTCCTTGTTTTGTGTGATATAGAGCTCAAATAAACGCCGTATGGATTACCTTCGCAACACGGTATGTACACTTTGTTATTAGTATGCCATTTTTAATTGTCGAGCTGTATCAGTTTGTGGGAGCTACGCGATGCCGGTCCAACCTTTCTTTGCCGAGTGTCACCCCATACAAAAATGTCCTATGGTCGGCTATAGAAAATTCTTTGTATGGTCGGCTTTAGCAATTTGGCCCAATTAGCTAAAGAATTGTTTATGGCTGTCTTTAGCATTTTTTATGGTCGCCTTTATGGGCCTCTTTAGCTTTTTCTATGGCCCTATCGTTGTCCAGCCATAGCGCTCTTTAGCTTATCTAATGGTTGGCTAAAGACTTATCTATGGCTTAGCCTATGGCTCTCTTTAGCCAGCAAACTAAAAATAAAAAAAAGATTTACTGTGAATTTTGTGAACGCTACATGGTAGACATTTTGTCTTGTGAACGCTACTGGTAGATATACATACATCTCTTGTCGGGACGTCATTATACATATACA